GAGATCTGCCGGCTACCCATTTCTGCCTCCCAAGTGCTAGGATTAAAAGGTGTGTGCCACCATATCCAGGGTGACTGTTTCCTTTTTTTAAACATAAGGGTCACAGCATGGTGGTGTGTGGTCAGAGTGGGAGCGAGTGGAGATTGCAGAGAAACTAGCAAGGGGTGGACAGGTTTTGAAAGTTGAGGGTAAGGGGTTGGGATGGTTGCCAAGACTCCGAATTAGACATTCATTAGGTAGACACGCAGGAGTACTGAGTTCAGTTCTGCAGGGAGTAGCTGGCAGGCGGAGATGCTGAGAAGAGGCTCCCTGTGTGACTTTGGGTGGAGGGTACCACTGTGCATTGTCTACAGAATCACCGAAGATTCAGCTGTAACTACTTTTGAGGCCCTGAAGGCTCGTGTCAGGGAGCTTGAACGGCAGCTATCTCGGGGGGACCGATACAAATGCCTCATCTGCATGGTGAGTGGGAAGGAATCAGCGCCCTGTGGGTTAGGGAGGGTCTTGGCTGTATCTGGGCTCTCGGAGGGTGAGCTTGCTTCAGTGACCCCTTCTCTGCCCACCTCCTCCCTAGGACTCATACTCGATGCCCCTAACGTCGATCCAGTGTTGGCATGTGCACTGTGAAGAGTGCTGGCTGCGGACTCTGGTGAGGAGAGGGTGGGCAGCTATTAGAGGCACTGGCCAGATGTTCACGTCTGTGGCTGCACCTGCTTGGGGGAGTTCAGGAAGACCTGAGTCAGGGTCCCCCCCCACCAAGTTGAATACATTGTCTGCCCTCTACTTCAGGTTTATTCTCTTCCCCCTCCATGGACACACTGCACGCTCCCTTCCCACCCCAAGGCAGCCCTGGTGTCTCACAGATATTGCTGAGACCCCAGATCAGAAAGAGGCTGGTGGTGGGTAAACCAGACCAGGGCCTCTGCCCCTCCCCCTCCCATTACTAAGCTCCTTCTGCTCCTGCCCTGTTCTTAGCTCGGGAGCAACCATTAAAATGTCGCCCGGAGACAGCAATAAAAGGCCCGGACGTGGGCTCTGTGTCCTGATCAAAGGCCGCGTGTAATCTCGTTAGGGTTGAGGCAGCCACAGCTGGACCCAGCCTTGTTCTCATTACCAGGGCTCCTGCTGCGGGGCTGGCCAGGCGGTTTGATCCTGGCGTCTCCCCAACACAGGAGCATGTCTGCCTACTCAGGCAGCCCATGCATCCCTAGCCTGGCTGACGGGAATGAAGTCGCACACAAACTGGTGCAGAGACATGGCTGCAGGCCCAGTGCTCATGTGCACAGACACAGATCACGCTCTGTCTCACGGAGCCCTCCCCCTTTTTCTCTCTTCAGGGTGCCAAGAAGCTCTGCCCTCAGTGCAACACCATCACAGCGCCTGGAGACCTGCGGAGGATCTACTTGTGAGCTAGCCATCCCAGCAGGCCTTGCCTCGATCAACCCCACCTGCCCCAGCCTCTGTGACAGTGAACCCCTTTCCCTTTGTACATAATTGCACACAGGTTCCCGGTGTACATACATGCACATACACACCCAAACACACATATAGGACTCTGGAGCCAGAGTGGAGCAGCCTTTCCTGCTTGCTCCTTCTGAACTTGGGGACCATGCCTCTTTTGGCTCTGTTTCCAGTGTGGGGCAGAAAGGTAGGGATGGGGAGTAGCAGGACAAGGCTCCTGAGATCCGTCCCCTAGACTGACTGACAGACATGCAAACACCAGACTGAAGCACATGTAATATAGACTGTGTATGTTTACAATGTTGTGTATAAATGAGACACTTTGCCCTCCACCGCCTCCCCTTTGGTTGTACGATTTTTTTTTTTTTAATGACTCCTGGAAGCAGTGCCCCCTTCAGGGCTGGCTGGTGGCTCGGCCCATCCACCTCTTAAGGTGCCTGCCTTTCCTCTCCCATGGCATCTCTTCCCTTTCCCATGTGCTCGGTGTTCAGTGGTGTATATTTCTTCTCCCAGACGTGGGCCATGTGCCCCAAGGGATATGATCCTCCTTAGTCTTAGCTCATGGGGCTCATATGAGGAGCTGGGGGGTAGGGTGAAAGATGGGACCGAGCAGAAACAGGCTGCAGCCGGGCTGGCTGAGGGTGCCTGGCTGCCCAGCCTGCTGTTAAGAGCAACTCCTGGGAGTAGAGCGCTGCTCCGGGCGGAAGTGCTGCCTCCCTTGCCTTCCTGTGCGCCCTGTGGTGTGATGCTGTGTCTGTATATTCTATACAAAGGTACTTGTCCTTACCCTTTGTAAACTACATTTGACATGGATTAAACCAGTATAAACCAGCTGCCGTCTGTGTGTGAAGCCATGCAGGGTGGTGGGGGTGCCCTGGAGCCTCCCAGCAGGCAGAGGTGGGGCAGGGCTAGGAATCTGAACTCCTAGCTATTGATGGGCAGGGGCTCTAGGTTAATTCCTTATCGATGCAGAATCGTCAGCTCATTAATCACAAAAGAGGTCAGGGCTTGGGGTACAGAGGGGGATATCAGCACTAGTCCCCAACCTAGGGCAGAAGCAGCCTCAGACAAGTAGAATGTGCTGTGGGTCCCTGGCTCTGGGTCACCTGCTGAGCTTCCACCTGCCCAGATCCATGTCAAGAACTGGCTGCCAGGCCTGTCAATGGAGCGCCTTGGTAGTCAGCTCCATGGCCCCCACTGCCAGCGAAGTACCTGTGCCTTCCAGGCCTATGCTCAGAGTGTAGGTGAGCCCTCACCATAGAAATGCCTTGAGGAAAAGATGGTTGCTCAGACTCAAAGGCCAGGATCCAAACTCGGCCCACTTTCTCAAATCCCTGCCTTGATACCCACTTCTGGGATGCCCACAATATAGAGAAATAAGGTCTGGTTGGCAGCCCCTGCCTCCTTTTGCACCCAGTAAAGAAGATGAGCTCTTGTTGGAACCCAGCAAAGGCCTTTTGTGGCCCTCACGCTCTGTGCTTGGTAGCACCAACTATCCTGAGCACAGCTTCTAGGGCCGGAAATGAGACGACGTGGCTTCCACTGTGAAGTGCGGCAGCAGCCCTGCCGGTGCCTGGGCAAAGGTAACCTGCTTCAGTGGTTGGTTCTGGACAGCCAGGCTTCTTTCACGTCTCTACTCTCCCCTTCCCTGCCTCGGACTCAGTGGGTCGTTGGCAGCTGCTTACCCCCACCCTGGGGCCAAGGACTCTTTAATAGGGAGGGCACATTGACAGTGCAGGCATCCCACCAAAGCATGACTTAGGCTGTCTCATGGCACAGGCAACACTGCCACCTGTTGGCCACGGGTAGGAATGCAACCACATCTCCAAAGACTCGGAAAAGTAGCTCAGAACTGGAGGTTTGATGCCCTGCAAATACAGTTGGCCTCTCGAGACTTGGGGTCCATGACTCATTGGGGACTTAGGAGTCCCCCACCCACCCACCCACAGATCCCAACTGCTTGCCAAACTTTGAAAACCCTTCGTTGAAACCCAAGTCCCTTGATGACAGAAAGTTCAATCGACAAGTATTGACTGAATGCCTAGCTTACCATGAGCCAGAATTGTGCAGCCGTGACTTGTAACACAGTAGATGGTAGGACTTATGGGGACAGTCATCTCCCCCTTCTGGAGGGTACTGAGTGGGAGTATCTTTTAGGAAATGGGAGTGTAATTTCAGCCGGAATCCCCGACCCTGGTTCTGGCCTAGACACATCCTCCTCCCTCCTACTGAGTATGGCGGCCTTTCTACTCTCCACTTAGTCTTCCTGTTAAATACAGAGCCATCAAATTCCTCAGATTCAATGCCCCCCTAACAAAGTGTGTGGTACCAGGCAGGCCCCAAATACCCCAATCCTCAGACCTCATCTAGTGTCTGTCTCAGATTCTCAGACCACACGGTCAGAGACAACCTCTCTGAGTGGCAGGCCAGATGGGGAACAGTGCTCACTGGGGAGCCTTGTCCTTCCATCACAGCCCTGCTTCCCGGCCTCTCTTGCTACTTAAGGTACCTTCCATTCAAGAAATCAAAATTCAAGCCAGGCATGGTGGCAGATGCCTATCATCCCAGTACCTGGGAGCCGGAGACAGGAAGATCAGGAGTTCAAAGTCATCCTCAGCCACATAGCGAGATTGAGGCAGCCTGGTAGCTCTCTCCTCTCCCCTCTCTCTCTCTCTCCTCTCCTCCCCCCCCTCCTCTCTCTCTCCTCTTTCTCCTCTCCCCTCTCTCCTCTTCTCTCTCTCTCTCCTCTCCTCTCCTCTCTCTCTCTCCTCTCTCTCCTCTCCTCTCTCTTTCTGTCTCTCCTCTCCTCTCCTCTCTTCTCCTCTCCTCTTCTCCTCTTCTCTTCTCTCTCTCTCTCTCTCTCTCTCTCTCTCTCTCTCTCTCTCACACACACACACACACACACACCCTGAAATCGATTCTGGGAACAAGTATAAAACTTTAGCTCTCCGAGATGATTAAGTTCTCGATCGTGCAGAGCTGCTGGAGAGCTGGGATCTGCCATCAAGCTGTCCACATAGGTGCTTCCTCCCAGTTAACGGCAGGGCCCTGACTGTCTGGAGTTTTGTTCAGAGGTCCATACAAAGGGTTTTCACCACAATCCAGGTGTGTTTCTGTGTGTGCAGCTACACTTGTGTGCAATCTGCATGTGGAGACCAGAGGTAGGGTGTAATCCCTTAGGGATAATTCACCTTGGTTTTTGAGAAAGGTCCTCTCACTGGCCTGGGGCTCACCATTCGGCTAGGCTAGTTGACCAGTCTCCAAGTAGCTGACTATCCCCAATTCCCCAGAGGTGGGAAATTAAGTGTATGTCACCATGCCTGGCTTTTTTTTAAAAAATGTGTTCTGGGTTTGAACTCATGATTGTACAGCCAGCACTTTACAACTATCTCCTCAGCCCCCCCCCTTTTTTTTTCAAAACAACTCTGGGGTTTAGTCTAAGCCATTCACCTGACACACACACTGCTAACCTTTTCCAGCCCAAACACCGTAAGAACACTGCATTTGTCCAAATGCAAGGCTGCCCCACAGAAACTTGCCCTGGCACTCCCACCCCAAGGTCTGTGGGAGCAGCCATGGCAGCAGCCCCCAGGACAGATGCAGGTTGAAGGGAGGTGCCCGACGTTTATTTCTGGAGCAGAACCTCAGCACTGGACACAGTTTTGCATGAAGTCGACACACAGACTTGTATAGTAAGTAGGATAGTCACGGAGGTGACTGACATGTGCAGATGACACAAAGTCTACCGAGCGCACCAGGACCTGGTGAGCCAGGCGTGCCGCTACCATGTGTTCCACGTCTCTGGCTGAGACCACTGCATCAGCTTTGGAGTAGAGGTAGAGCTCAGGCCAGTGGGAGCCCGAGTCCTGCAGCCAGTCATAGAAGTGGGTGTGGAAGAGGGCCGTGAACGGAGCGAGCAGGAAGTGGAACAGGACTATGACCATGGCAAAAGCCACCAGGAGCAACAGGCGCAGCACAGCAGGCCAGCGCTCCAGGATGGTTGCCAGGGCCCTCAGGGCCCCTACCAGGTTGCGGTCACCAGGACCACTGTCAAAGATGGTGCCCACCACGTGCAGGTGGCTGAAGCGCGGGTGGGTCTGTAGGAGCTCCAGCACATAGCGGTAGAGCATGACGCCAGCGTTGCTGAAGACGTGGAAGAGCAGCGGTTCCCTCTCAATCTCGTAGTCAAAGAGGAGCTCGAGCAGCTTCTGGGCCATCACACGAAGTGAGGGGATGCCCAAGGACTCAGAGAAGAAGACCATGTGCCAGGGGGCCGTGTATCGGATCACAATGCAGCCCTGAAGAGACGAGAGGGACCAGGTCAGTCCCAGGGAGACGGTGGGGTGGTGGACACAATTTAGTCAGAAGCCAGCAGCTCTAATTCCACAGCTCTGTCGTAGCTAGCCCACCAGCTGCAGGCCCAGGAGTGGAAGCACACGCAAGGCCTGTTTTGTTTTGTCGATGGTGGTGGTGGTGTTTATTTGCTAGTTTTTGTTGTTTTGTTTTGTTTTTGAGATAGGGTTTCTCTGTGTAGCCTGGCTGTCCTAGAACTAGCTCTATAGACCAGGCTGGTCTCGAACTCACAGAGATCCACCTGCCTCTGCCTCCCCAGTGCTGGGATTAAAGGCGTGCTCAAGGCTGCTTTTCCAATACCCTGCTTCATGCTGTTCATGCCGCCTCAGCCTGGGATGGGATTTGACGCCTGAAGCTGACAGCATGTTTTGGAGACATCTGATCCAACTAGAAGAGTCTCTTCTCTGTAGTTCCTTCTATGGCTGTCCTCCTGCCCCAGACCTGCATAGTTAAGGCCTTGGGTCTTGGAGACAGCATGTTGCAGCTATTTTGCACCCCCATGAGACAGAGGGACGGCATGCAGGCCCCAGCCTTAGCCACCAGAGGGCGCTTCTGAGCCAGATCTGCTTAGCAGTCCTGTCCCCTTCCCTGCTGCGGTGCCCTGAAAACAAGAGGCCACACTGTCTGTTTTTGGGAATCTGACCTTTAATTATAGCTGGTTCCTGGACTTAGGATCATTCCTCACACTCACCTTAAAATTCCAAACAGAAAGAGAGGAAAGGAGGGAGGGAAAAAGAAACAAAACAATGAAAGAAATTCTAAATCCAGAGAACATTGTTGCTCTTAAATCCAAAAATCTAGGCCCAAGCTCACTTTCAGCTTCCATACCATTACTGGCAGGACCCCTTGAAGGCCAGTTGGAAAAGGCACCAGATGCTACCCTGCCTGGGCCTTAACCCCTTATTAATTTGTTCTAGCGACAAGGAGCCTCTCTGTCAGGGGCGTCTTAGTTGGGCAGGCTCTGGGGTCTGGCAGGTCTGTGCTTAATTCTTGGCCCTGCCACTTATTAAGTGTCTGGGCAAAGAGTAATTTACTTCCTCTTTCTCTGTCTGGGTCCCCATCTATAATTGGGATGACACCCACCTCAAAAGGTTATGGTAGAAGTTAAATGGAAAAAAAAATGTATCTCAAGTGACAAAAATGGCACCTGGCACAAAGTGAATCCTCACAGAAATAACAAGGGGAGAGGGGTGTGGGCACAGTTCTCTGATGACCCAAACAGGAAAGGCCAGCCATGCTCACCAGCCATAGACCCCTGGGCTTCCAGCCATGGAGGCACTAAAAACTCTCCAGGGGGGGGGCTGCTGAAGACCACCCACACTCCCAAATGCCTATGCTCTTTCCCCAGCAGCAGGTGGGTCACACACTCTTACAAATATACCCTTACCGCCCAGTCTCCGGTGAGCCAAATCAAATCACAAGGGGAATATAGAGTTAAGGAACACAAGCATTAACTGCAGTGTTTGGCCCTGGACTGGACTCTGGGGTTGGACAAATCAGCTGCCTGAGATGTTTCGGGAACCTGCTTCTTGAGTGTCCAGACAGGGACTGGAGATGGGACGCAACGAGAAGTTACTAACAGGACTAGACGGAGTGCACGGTCTAAAGGAAAGCAGGCCACACATAGTAACTACATCCTACTGAGATAAACGGCAGAGAAAACCTAGACGGACGCACCCCTTACAGGGTAAGCTGAGGCAGTCTCTGGGTGGTAGAAAATAAGGTGGTGTTTTCTTTCAAATAAAAAAAAATTGGAGTTTTAGACTGGAAAATTTTTCTTAGCACCCATCCTCTCTTTGCCAGGGGTAAAGGCAGCCCTTCCTCTCTAAGACTGTCCCTGCCACCTCAGCTCCTGTCTCCTCTGGGACCCTTCACCCACTTTCTTCCTCACACCTTCTGCCCACATAACAGCCTCATTCTCTGCAAAGGCCGCCCACCTTCCCGAAGACTCTGTCTGCCGGCCTGGCATGCCCTCTGGGGTTTTCACGGCCATCCACTCCCCTTTCCGGTAGAAGTCTCTTCATTAAGTCCGGGTTCCTCATGGCTTCCCTAAACTACTCCTGCTATGTCCCATCACCCTAGAACCTATGAACTCTCTTTTAATGTTCTTGTCTCAAAACCACAACTCTTTACTTATAAAGAGCCCCAGCCTGGTCCCTGGCACGCTTCTTCCTATGAGCTTGGCCCCAGACTCCTCTGCACCCGAGTCACCAAAACCCCTTCACACTACTGACTTCCAGTGCCAGCACTCCCAATTGTCCCTCCACACACTGCAGCGAAGGCTCTCTCTTCTCTCTCTCTCTCTCTCTCTCTCTCTCTCTCTCTCTGTGTGTGTGTGTGTGTGTGTGTGTGTGTGTGTGTGTGTGTGGTTTTTCAAGGCAAGGCTTCTCTATATAGCCTTGGAACTCACTCTGTAGACCCGGATGGACTCAGAGATCCACCTGCCTCTGCCTCCCAAGGGCTGGGCTTAAAGACGTGTGTCACCACCACCCGGTCAGCAATGGGCTTTCTTAATGGCAAACCTAGTTTCACTTCACAGTCTCACTTAATCCTCTGTGGACCAGGCCCTGGCATCGCCTCTAAACATATATACTTTGTCTCCTTGATTTGTACCCCTCTGAAGGCTACTTTGAGGAGATCTGGCTATACATGTAAAAGGGGGTTTTCCACACTGCACCCAGGCCCTCCTGGGGCTCTTGCTGGCTACCACAACCTCCACATCCGAATTTTAGAGAGGCCTAAAAAGTGTGACTCTTCTCTGAGGCCCTCTGACCCCAAAAATGGGAAAGGAAAGGGAAGGCGCAGTCAGTCCTAAGCTCACCTGGTCAGGAAGGGAAGACGTCCTAGGAAACTAAGTCTGGTTGGTGCACCCTACCCTGGCTCCTGCCATTCAAAGAGCCATGGTCAGGGATGTGGGGTGTGAGCTTACTCTACAACCAGGGAATACATCAAGGCCCTGGGGGAAGGAGAAACAGGTCAGGGGACTGGAACAGCAGCATGAGGACATGGTGTCATCCTGACAGAGTCCCGAGTCCGCTGTCTTCCTCACGGGCCTTCGGCACTACTCTAGGGTGGTCAACCTTTGCTCCAGCCCAGAGGGGAAGCCACCAAGCTTAATGTCCCCCACAAAGCACCCAAGAGCAGCAGAGGCCCACATCCCAGGCAAGCACTGGCCCCAGTACTCACCCTTTTGTGGTAGATGGCACTATACTTGGCCAGATTCTTGTCCCTGCAGCCACCCCAGCCCAAGAGAATCACCACAGGCAGCTGCTTCCTGGCCTCCTTCCCACCTTGGCTGGGGGTCCCTGAAACACAAATGGAGACTGTCAATACAGGCAGGATTGGGGTTCTGACCAATCGAGGGCTGTAGGAAGAAACCAACAGGTGGCCCAGTCTCTAGGTGGCTCCCGGCCAAGTGCCTTTTCATCGACCTCTGTTGAGGCGCCGTAGCATCACCAGAGAAACCCACACGAGGACGACATATTTTAGTAACTCAAATCCCATGAAAATAAAGTGGCTGCCCTTTCCAGACAACATCACCTCCCATCCCAGGGAACCATGACCTATGGGCTAAATCAGACTGATTTCTTTCATTTTCAAAGACTACATTTATATCTTTGTGTGGAAAGGGCCATGTGTCCAAGGTGTGAGTGTTTGGGGTCAGAGAATAACCTTTGGAGTTGGTTCTCCTTCCTTCATGTGGGTCCTGGGGATCGAACTCGAGTCGTTAGACTTGGCAGCAAATGCCTTAGCCCATGGAGCCATCTCGCCAACCCACTGTTTTCTATGGTCCATGAGCTAAAATGGTGCGTGTTTGTGTAGTGTATGCACTTGTCCATGTGGTGTGTGCATGCACTGTGGATGCTAGAGGTCACTGGGGATCTTTCTCAATCCTTCTCCACCTTGTTTGTGGAGCAGTCTTTCAGTGAACTCAGAGCTCATCGATTCATCCAGGCTGGCCAGCCGATGAGCTCCAGGATCCACTTGTCTTTGCCTCCCCTCAACACTGGGGTCACAGATGTATGCTGCCCTGCCCAGTTTGACAGTGGTCCTGGGGATATGAACTGCAGGCACTTTACCCATGGGCCACCTTCCCAGCTCCAAAAATGGTTTATTTGCTTTTTTTGTCGTTGTCTATTTTATATTGCTGGGGATCAAGCTGAGGGCTCCACAGTAGTCTACCACTGAGTACTTCAAGCCCAGGCTTTTACTTCTATGTAGATCAGACTGGCCTCGAACTCACAGAGATCCCTGTGCTTTTGTCTCCTGAGATTAAAGGCATGCACCACTATGCCAGGCGCCTACACTTTTTACATTTTTAAATGGTTAGAAAAAAATCAATGTGGCAACACATACCTACAATCTAGCACACAAGAAGCTGAGGCAGGGGGACTGACTGGTGGAGAGCTGCCTGGGCTACATATGAAAACACAGTCTTCAAAAAGAAACCACAATTTAAATTTCTATGTATATAGCTGGGCATGGTGGCACATGGATCTTTGGGATTTGAGGCTAGCCTGGTCTACACAGAGAGTTCCAGGACAGTCAAAGCTACTTAGAGATACCCAATCTGAAAATAAATAAATAGCAGGTGGTGGCAGCACAAGCATTTAGTCCCAGCACTCAGGAGGCAGAGGCAGGTGGACCTCTGTGAGTTCAAGGCCAGCCTGGTCTACAAGAGCCAGTTCCAGGACAGCCAGGGCTACACAGAGAAATCCTGTCTTAAAAACAAATAAGCAAACAAACAAGCAAACACATAAATCTATAAATTTACAAGAAGTCTCATGTGGTGTCTGAAACTGTAGATCAGTAGCAGACAGCTTGCCTGGCATAAATCAAGCCGTGGGTTAAATCCCCATCACCTGAGCGTGCCTGCGGGGCACACACAGTTTTATTGGGGTCTGGAGATGTAACTCACATAGCAGAATGCTGGCCTAACAAGTGTAAAGCTGTGGGTTCACTCCCCAACACCTTAAACCCTGCATGGCAGTACCTGCCTGATACCTCAGCACTTGGGGAGTGAATCCGGGGGGATTAGAAGTTCAAGGTCACCTTTGCCAACAGAGTGAGTTTGAGAGGAGTCTTTGCAAAAATACAAGACCCTGCCTAAAAATAAATAATAAGTAAATAAATAAGTTACGCTGAAACATAACCATTCTTATCCAATTTATCTACTGTCTATGGCTACCTTCAGATGAAAACAGCACCGACCACAAAAGACATCGACGGCTCGCAAAGCCTTAACTATTACTGTCTCTTTACAGAAAAAGTTCCTTCGTTCGTGCAAGTTTAGCCTCTATAACACCATGGTGCAGGTATGCTGTGTAGTTTCCTTCTACCCACCCTGAGCACCGCCAGGGTTAGCCCCAGCCACAGCTGGAAGCATGTCTCCTTCAGTGATAGTCTTAGGAGCACAAGCTGCCTGCACCATGCCTGTCTGAAGAGCCTCCCCAAAATCATGCACCACCTACCTCATTTTCCCTGCAAGTGAGTGCCACCCCCTCTGTGGGGCATTTGCACAAGGACTGTCTGTAGCTAGACAGCCGACCTCTAAAAAGGCCTGGCACGTACCCTTCCAAGGACCAAGCCACTTGGCTATGCTCAGCTGACACCTGAAATTTATTGATGCTGGTGGTGACCTGGCAACACTAAATTTCAAGGCTAGTTACGCAGACGGTAAATATAAATCACTAACCTTTGGACAAAAGGAAGACAACAATTTCCTGTGGAAATTAATGTGATTGAACTGTTCAGTGTTCCTGCTCTTGAGGAGCACAACTCTGGCCTTCAGAGATTAACTGCCCGCACCCACGGGGCTCTAGGCCAGATGGAACAGAAGCTGCCAGACCCTCAGCCCCTTGTGGACATGCGCTATCCCTTCCAGGCTCTACTAACCCAGGTGGCTCCAAACAATCACAGCCTTTCTTATCCCTGTGCCCCTCTACCTTCTGCCAGGAGGGCACCTCAGGATCTGCACTATGTGGGTGGGGACCAGCCCAGCCTTGCCCACCACTGAAGCTCAGGCAGCTGCAGGCTCCTGAGTTAACCCATGGGACGGACCTCTGGAGTGAAGCCACCGACCGGATTTCACATCCACCAGATATAAAATATATGATCTAGGACTCAGCTCTGGGGAGAGATCCGTGAAGACACCAGTGCCCGGACATCCTGCCCACTCCCAAAGCCTAAGCACTCCCTCCTGAGAACCAATCTCTGTGCCCACCAGCGTCTGTTCCCAATATGCTCTTCACTGGCTGCAGGGAGTGCACACTGCCCCTCTGCAGTTCATAAGTGGAACCCAGTGCCATGCGCACAATAGGCAAGCATCTTCGCAGTAGGCTTTACCCATAGCTGTCCCTTTAGATCCTATACATGGACATTCTATAAAAGAAACCTTTAAAATGTGGCTGGGAGAGGGATAGTGGCCAAGGAAAGTCTACCTGAGGAAGTCATGTTCCCTGTCATGCCTCAAAGGTCCAGTGGGGGCAGGCAGGGTAGACAGAGGGCATGGGCAGGGCACGGCTGTGATAGCCATCTTGGCCACATTAAGCAGCCCTGGAGCTGAGACCCTGGAAGACAGAGAGCAACAGGCAGAAGGGCAGCAAAGAGTGGGACTGGGTCTGATTCCACTGATTTGGGGGCTTTATACCATAGCAAAAAAGAGAGAATAAAAGTTCTGGGATGGGCAAGGGGCACGACCCAATCTGTTACTGATGACTGTAGACTCACACACGTGTTTAATGTCTGTCACTCTCCCCTTAACCAGCAGACTCTGCAATGCAGGAAGTGACATCCACCACGTTTGTCACCACACGCCCGGTGGACAGCACCATGGCTGGCCTGCACAGAAGCTCAGCAGCTATACGGTTATCACACCCCCATCCAACCATGAGACGAGTGGGGTGCACCCACCAACACCATGCTCTCCTTCCATGCACGGGCAGTGTTTGCTGGAGAAGCTGGGCTGCTATGGCAAGGCAAGCGGTGGCAAAGGAGGGAAACAAGGATGGGGAGACCAGGTGGGCGTGGGCCACGACATTAGTCCCAGCACTCAGGAGGCAGAGACAAGGGGATTTCTATGAGTGTGAGGCCAGCCTGGGCTATAAAGTAAGTTCCAGGACAGTCAGGGCTGTTACACAAAGAAACCCTGTCTCAGAAAATGAAAATAAACAAAAAGGAATAGGAGAAGGAAATGACAGGGAGACAGTCACAGGCATGGAGTGGTGTTACACACTTCTAATCCTAGCGCTCTGGAGGTTGAGAGCTCTAGACCAGCCTGACCTACACAGCAAGAAAAAGAAAACAGATTCATAATCATCTTGAAACACGCGAAATTCCAGTAGGTCACAAACATCAGCATAAGAATTAAAACTAGGGGCCGGGCGGTGGTGGCGCACGCCTTTAATCCCAGCACTCGGGAGGCAGAGGCAGGCGGATCTCTGTGAGTTCGAGACCAGCCTGGTCTACAAGAGCTAGTTCCAGGACAGGCTCCAAAACCACAGAGAAACCCTGACTCGAAAAACCAAAAAAAAAATATATATATAAAAAAAAAAAAAGAATTAAAACTAGGGGCCGGAGAGATGGCTCAGTGGTTAAGAGCACTGACTGCTCTTCCAGAGGACCTGGGTTCAATTCCCAGCACCCACATGGCAGCTCACAACCATCTGTAACTCCATTCCAGGGGATCCAGTGTTCCCTCTTATAACCTCTGTGGGCACCAGGCATGCACATGGTGCACGGATAAACATGTAGGCAGAGCATCAACACACATAAACTCCATCCTGTCAGAAAGGAGAACATCTTGGGATCTTGGCTGAGCAACAGTTTTGGGCATGACACCAACATCACAGAGAACAAACAAAGCAGATAAGCTAAGATTTCAATGTCTGCACTCTTTTTAATTTTTATTTTACCTGGCTGAATGTTTTGCCTGTATGTGTGTATGGTGCATTGTGTGTGTGCCTGGTGCCTACTGAGGCTGGACACCCTGGAACTAGATTAAGGTGGCTATGAGCCTCCAGATGGATGACAGATACAGAACACAAGGCTTCTGAGAAGGCAACAAGTGCCCTTAACCTATAGGCCATTTCTCCAGGGCCAACTTACTTTAAAGAACACCTTCAGAAAGAAAGAACGGGGGGGGGGGGGGGGACTCACCTCTGATATGGTACTTGCATTCATAATATACTTAAAACTCTTAAAACCTAAACTAAAACAAATAAGCAGGTGTGTGTGTTTGTGTGTACGTGTGTGTGTCCATTGTGTGTGTGGGAGCAGAGAGAGAGAATACACGTGTATATAAATG